TTTTTGGACATTTTTAGATTAGATGGTGTTGGGTAATATGGTAATGTCGTTTTTATGAGAGCATCACCAAAAAAAGAGAGCCACTTGTGTGTGCAATAGTTAAGACATGCTTAAAAACAGACCATTTGTCTCAGTTGCTACTACAGGTTCCTCTGTGTACTACAACCAGTCTTCAGCAGATTATTCACATCCTCTACATACTGCTACAAAAATTACACCAACAAAGGTAGTGGAGGGATTTTCATGTAAACACAATATATTACACCTTACAGTAAAGGGGCAGAGAATCAATAAAGTATTGTTTGTTTACCTCTGCAGGGCCCTGTACAGGGGATGAATCGTCTTCTTCCACAGCAGCATATGTATGCCTACCAACAATCAACACACACCCCACCTCGCCAGTCACCAGCAGTCCCATTTGGCACTGGATTTGGTGCTCAGTTTACCAAGAATGAGGGTCCGTGGGACTGTGACTCCTGCCTAGTGAGGAATGAAGCCTCAGCAACTGAATGTGTTGTTTGCAAAGCCCCCTGCAGCATTGAAAAAAGTAATGCAGCATCACAAGGTGGGTTAGCTGCCATGTTTGGTAAAAAAGATGGACAGTGGGATTGTGACACTTGCCTGATAAGAAACAAAGGTTCATCAAACCATTGTGTTTCATGTCAGACAGCAAACCCAAATTTTAAAAACAAGACCTTTGCTGCACCGTCAAGTTCCTCTTTTACCTTTAGTTTAGGAAGTTCTAGCAGACAACCTGCTGCGACAGGATTTAAAGCCAATTTCAGTCCAGGCCCTGCTTTTCAGTTCGACACATGTAAGGATAAAGCATCCTCAGAAGGCTTAAAGTTTGAGTCCTCTACAACGAAGGCTGAAAAGTCATCAAGCAGGTTGTCATTTTCCATGTCAGCAGCGCCTGTTTACGCGATACAGAACGAGACCAAACGCGATATCAGCACGTCTCCACACAGTAAACAAAACAAGTGTTTCCTAGCAACGACAACTGCACTAAACACTAATGAGACAAGTAAATACACTTAGGAGCTGCTTTTAACTTCAGCTGATAAAGACTGCTTCTCTCAAAGAGTATTTCTTTACACTGTTTTCTGCTGGCGCTTGAACACACTTTCCTTATTTTTTCCACAACAAATGGCCAAGCAAGCGCAGACACTGACAAGATACGCGATACAGAACAAGACCAAACGCGATATCAGCACGTCTCCACACAGTAAACAAAACAAGCAAAACAAATTTTATGAAGAAATCTTTAGGTTTTGACTTTTGTAGAACACAGTCGCAGCATTCTTTCTACAATGATCATCAAATATTGTTTAGAAAAATCTTCCCAACATTGTTTGAAGTTTCTGCTATTTGCTGGACTTTGACTGTCCGGTTCACCTCACGTCTGTCTGTATAATAAACGGAGGAATAATGCATGTGTCTACTGTGTAATTATGTCAGTGAAGAGTAACTTTGGATTTTAAAGGACTAATACTGACTGTCACTGAGATGTCTGTACAGAACCAGATAAAGGCCTGTCCTCCTCAGTTAAGATTGCAGTGTGCTTCAGTTTTACTCATACCTCATGAACCACCAATTAACACAGTCGATTCCAAACACAGATGACAGGTTCAGACAGTCATATGAGCACAAGGCCAGCCATTTTGGCCTGTTCATGAGATGTAGCGGCAAGCGGACAACTGATGCATACTTTGAGCTTTTGTGTACTAGTTGGTTGTTGTTAGTCAGCTAACCAGCTAACAAATCAGTGTGTGGATCTGCATGTTATGTAGAGTCAGATTTGTTTTCACTAAACCTGTTTAGCTGTTGTTGCTTCTTACCTCATTCTTATGTTGCAGTTTAAGATACCTCAGTGATAGACCACCATGTTCCCCTATTATAGTCAAGCCAAAGAAATGTGTCTAATGTATAACCTCTTGCCGCCTAGGTCTTGAGTCTTTAGACGTACAGTATTTTTCAATCACTGACAGTAGTTTATATTTTTCTGCATCTACATGGAGTTTCAGATTAATTTGAATGGAAGAAATGCTGAATTTCTGCTGAAGAAGCTGTGGTAGGTGGACAGTTCAAAGAATATCACATACTTGTTATGTTGCTTTGGTAAGGGGTTTCCGTAATATCAAACAGTAGATCATGGTGCTAGCAATGCTGGGGAAAACAAGAACTGATCAAATGTCATTGTGTGCCTTGAATGCATTCTAGGTCGCTTTGGAGAAAAGCGTCTGCTAGGGCTGCATGATCGATCACATTTTAATCATGATCAAGATTTCTACTGGATATTTATCCTGAATTTTTATTTTATTTTTTTAATCTTGCCTTGGTAACAATTCTCCGTTCATGGTCTGCTCAAATAATAGTGTCATACAGCAGGTCTGTTGTTTATGAGGCCACTTGTGCTGTACTTTGCTTTGCAAAGTCTTTCTGTATGAATTTGCATTTCTGATCTGGATCTGACTTATTATAGTAGGTTAAATGAAGTCTATGTGTAGACTGATAGGTAAAGAACACACAAAACGTGAATTTGCCTTCTTTTGATAATTATGCAATAATAGTGAGTTATAATCTTACATAAGTATGTGTGTATGTGTTTCCTGCTGCAGTTGTTCTGCTGTGTCTGCTAGTCACTTAACCTGTGGCACAGTGAGTGTGCTGATTCACACTCAAGATAAGCTCCAATCTGAGTGTCTTTTCTACTGTTGTGTACGTGCAAGAACGTAACATGGGAGTTCATAATGGGAGTGAGTTTTGTGTCATGCCTTTGATTTGCAGTGTAGAAGCGGAGTAACTGCAGCCCAAGAAAGGTGCCATATCACCCTGCAGCCCAAGACTGGTTGCCCACCGAAGCTAAGCAGGGTTGAGCCTGGTCAGTACCTGGATGGGAGACCTCCTGGGAAAACTAGGTTGCTGTTGGAAGAGGTGTTAGTGAGGCCAGCAGGGGGTGCTCACCCTGTGGTCTGTGTTGGTCCTAACGGCCTAGTGTAGTGATGGGGACACTATACTGACAAAAAGCACCGCGCTGTGCTGGTACTTCAGCATGTACCTGCAGCATTGATGAGGCATTGCTGTTTTGCTCTTCCTCAATGTTTGCAGAAATGCAGGTATTTTCCACGGGCTCCTCTTTTGTGCTGAGAAAGTAAAAACGGTTTCTGCGATACACCTGACCATCTGAAGTGCGAACCTGATAGAATCTTTCTGTATTGGCAGGATGAACAACAACAGCTGGCTTCCAAAGGCCGCGATCTTGTATGCAAACAGGTTGTCCAGTGTGAAGCTCTGACAGTGGACGCGCTAAACGCAACATAATACTTTTTCTGATGTTGCTGCTGCTTTATCCTTTTGGAGCGTGTCTCTGTGGAACTGACAATTTCAGGTAGGACCTGCTTGTTAGTGGTTGGCAGTAGAGA